CTCTCTCTCTCTCTCTCTCTCTCTCTCTCTCTCTCTCTCTCTCTCTCTCTCTCTCTCTCTTTCTCTCAACCCCATTTCCTCTCCCTCGCCTTGTGTACTCCCTCTCCTTGTGACGCATACGAATGAGCGTCACTAAGAGAACAGACAAAATACAACAAGTCACCCCTTAACTCTGCCTCCTTTCATAACGTGCATGCAGGCCGTTAAGGCACACGGGGATGTGGGCAGCTGGCGCTTAACCATCATCAACGTGGCCAGCCTTGCACGTGAGAGGCACAGTAAGAGGGGTGTGTAAGAACAAATAAACTGGGAGGCCCAGCTGGTGCTTAACCATCATCAACGTGGCCAGCCTTGTACGTGAGAGGCACAGTAAGAGGGGTGTGTTAGAAGTTAGAACAAATAAACGGGGAGGCCTCCCAACGATAATAATGGTGAATATAGTCAAGAAAATGACATAATTGATCTATTGTCTATCTTATTGGCATATTGCTAACTGTCTCATTGTTGGGTAACCCCCTCTCAAGTATGCTGCATTGCCGTTATGAGCTCAGGCATAAAGGTCAGGTTGAGGCTATGATCATGTTGGAACTACCCATGTAGATGTAGGCATTGCTTGCATAAAGGTAACGTTTCTATTGTGCCACATGTTGCTAACTATAGAGGCAACATTGTGTCCTTGCTGGACTGATTCATCTCAACTTCTCAAGGCTTAGCATGCCTTATCTTCTACAATAGAGGTAAAGTTGCTGTGACTTTGATAAAGCTCAATTAGGGGAAGGGTGTGATTTTGCAGCCCGGACGAGAAATAGCTTTGAGACTACACGAGTAACACGACTAATTGGCTGTGAGTCTGTGACCCTGACCCGAGACATTACATTGCTGTTTTTAAAAGGAACGCTGGACCCGGTTTCCAGCAGGTGCCGCTCCCCACCAATAGATGGAGCAGCTCGCTGGCCAAGCCCTCAATTCTGGCCGTTCTCCTACCACTGTCGGGATAGTGGACTTGCAAAAGGGCTTTCAATTAAAAACAAAAATAAAAATAAAAAGTTTGCTGCGATTTTGGATCTAGTCATCTGGGTGGAATAGGGGATGTTGTGGTGAACATTCACAACACACACAAACAGCACACGACGTGGAGGGCTCTTCCCTCCAAGTTTTTTTGGACCGTGGAGGATGGGGTCAGTGCTTTCTTGCTGGCGGAGTCCTCTGTCTTAGGTTAGTTGCTTTTTGCCCTCCGCCCTTTTATCGATGAAATATCGTCAAACAGAGCTCCCCGGTAAACCGTAGGCAGAGAGGGAGAAGAGGACAACAAATGAGGGGCTGGGACAGTGTGGGCACTTGGTGCTGAACCACACAAACGTGGCCAACCTTGCATTTTCCATTATGTCTTATCTAATATCTATACTTTTTTGTTATGGATGGTTTGTTATGATTTGTGAAGGAAATGAGAGAGAGAATTTGGGGTGCTTTAACAACACACACACAACACAGAGAGAGAGAGGGTGTGTGTGTGTGTGTGTGTGTGTGTGTGTGTGTGTGTGTGTGTGTGTGNNGAGAGAGAGAGAGAGAGAGAGAGAGAGAGAGAGAGAGAGAGAGAGAGAGAGAGAGAGAGAGAGAGAGAGAGAGCAACCTTTTGGTGATGGGTGAGAAGGATGAACAAGAAATGTGTAAGAAATGGGGGACCCAACTGAGAGAAGAGAATATGGCAGTTATTCTTATTTTTCTGATGAAGTGGCCGGTTTTCTCTTTTCATGCTTTTGTTATGCAGTTGCGTCGTGAGGTGGAAAACTTGGAAGTAAATTGAATTGAAACACATTCAATTTCATAAAGGAAAGGAAGCGGCAACGGCAAGTGTTGTTGGGAAGGACTCCATCCTATCTGCGCCTTCCTAATCAATTTGTGTGGTCCACCATCGACTTCGCACGGTGATGCCGCTAGCAATCAAGTCAATGGCTTTGCATGGAACTTCAATCAACCCTCTTTCTGCAGAACCAGAGGAATACGAACAATGGGATCCCAATCATCTACCAAATGGAAATCATGTAACCAGGCATTGTGCGGCTGAAGATACCTGGATGAGAGTGTCACTACTGCAAGGACTGCGGGTTCCTGAGCACGAGTCACCACTGACAAGCTCTTCATTTGCACGTCCAGGAGGAGACGATTTAACCACCTTTCCACCTCCCACGTCTCACGAACTTGAAGGTCAACCTCAGACTGGTTCAGTCAACAAGGGGTCCCCATCGTCATCGCCGCCGAGATCCCGCCACGGGGTTGGTGGGTTCTGGCATTCTGGGGACTCCCCTTCTGTGTCCCCCTGGTCAAGAGCAAGATTAAGTTTCAACGGTCAGGATCGTGTTGTTCAGAACAGGAACTGGACCTCCTTTCCCCGGCGACGCCGCTCGGAGCCTTTATGGCCAGTTTGGGAGGAAGAAGACATTGGCAAGCGAAGAGGGGTGTTTGCAGATCCCGGCGTTTGCTCGTTGAATTTCCATGGATTGCGAGATGCCGAGGAACACAGGAGACGATCTTCTACAGCCTCCTCCGCTACCCCCATATGTGTGCCCATCGGTATCGCTTCGTCAGGCGCAGCCGTTGGCAGGATGATGAACCCTTTTTCTGTACAGGAGGAAGCAAATGCATCCTATGGCATCGCCCCTTCGTCAGGAGCAGCTGTTCGCCGGGCAGTTAACCCTTTTGCATTCCAGGAGGAAACAAATGAACCTGCACAATTGGAATTTTCGGCTGCGAATGGCTCGGGCTTAGGGCAACCGTGCTGGTATCCCATGGGTGGGGTGAGCGCCCAGCAGGCTCCCTGTGCTCTACCGTATGGGAATCAGCAACAGCATTGCTGGAGTCCGACGACGTTTGCCATGACCATTGCCCCAAGGCTTTCTTGGACCGGGAACCGCGATGGCGCCAGCGCCAACACTCCTGGAGTGAGGGATTCCCGCGCGTCTCGATCCCGAGGATTGCCCACGCCTCAACGAGGTCGAAGAGCGTCGTCGATCGGCTTGTCACATCATGACCTGACTCCAGTGCAGGTAGTGTCCGTGGGTTCGCCTGCAAGATCTGGTCCAGTCCAGGCAGTCCTTGCTTCCAGCGTAAGTCATGAGGAAGAGTTTCTTCTCCTCCTCCTCCGAGCTCTCTGCGCATATGGGGCACCCACACTCCGCATGGAGCATAACCTCCAGTGCATTTCCCAGCATCTTGGGGTTGACTCCTGCTTCGTCGTCTCTCCCAACCTTGCCTGGGTCTCCTTTGGCACCACAGCCTCTCACCCCCAGTTGCGCCTCTTTCTCATTCCACTCCAACAAGGTCTGGAGTTGTCGAAGCTCGAAGACCTGAATTGTCTCTGCAATGAGCTGTTCCAATCGAAGATTGCCCTTCAACAAGCAGCAGAACAACTGCAGAAGATAGTTGCCACCTCCCCGACGCATCCGGCTCTGGCAAATGTGATGGAGATCCTCTGTTATGCCGTATACGGCTGGACCGTGTGTTTGACTGGTTTCAATGGGACATGGATCGAGAGCGGGTTCAGCTTTTTCACAGGGCTCGTGTGCGGAATCCTCTGTTACTTGGCTTCTGCCTTCGCAGTGCCATACACCAACTTGCAGGACTTTGTGAGCGCCATGGCCGTGTCTTGCATCGCTAAAGTCTTCCAGCTCCGTCTTGCTCCCGGGATTTGCTTGGATATGGTGGTCGTAACGTTGTCAGGGATCATCGTCTTGGTTCCAGGACAGGGAATCACCTTAGCGGTCATGGAGCTGGCATCAAAAAACATAATGTCCGGCACGATGCGTTTGTTCCACGCCATTCTCGAGGTTATCTTCCTCGGTTTCGGAGCGATTATCGGCATCCAGATGGCAACTTGGATAGCTGAGCTGTTGTTCGCCCCGTCTCTCCACTCTTCGGGCAGTCGGTTGACGTCCATCTCGTCGTCCGCCTCACCAGCCGGTCCACCCCAATCTTCTTTGCGGACCACCTGCTTGTATCCCCGCGTCCCTCTCTCTCTCCACTGGACTCTAGCAATACTTCCTATCCAGTCTATCACCCTCTCCATTTGCCTCAAGGCCAAGCCTTCACAATGGATTCCCATGATGCTTGTCACTCTCATCGCCTATGGCATTACCAGTGTGCAAAGTCCTCATTTAGGCATGGAGGCCTGCGTAACCATCTCTGCGCTGGCCGTTACCTTGAGCAGTAATTTCTACTCAAGAATCACCCACAGACTTGGGATTGCCCCTCTGCTAGCAGGGCTCTTTCTTCTTTTTCCTGGCAGTGTAGGGGTCCGTGGAACGCTCAGTTTCCTACTAGATAATGATGTTCTCAGTGCAGCAAACTTCGCCTTCCGGATGATGCTGATCGCCGTTGCGATCACAGTTGGCGTCTTCATTGGGAGCATGATCCTGTTTCCAGTTGCAAAATCCAGCCAGAGATTCTTGATTGTGATGTAGTGTGGCTAGCTCAATGGTGAGACCTACACTCACCTAGCCATAGTGAGAGAAGCTCTGCACGGTTATGCCAACCTTAAAATTGTGGCACACATTTCTTTTCCCCTGTCAGCCTTGCGGGAAGGGGGTGTCACACACAAGATGCTTGTCATTTATCTCATGTTCGCTTTTGCGAACATTGAAGACTTAGTCTGCATCTGGCAAGGAAGGGCCAAAAATCCCCTTCCTTTTTTTTTTCTTTTTTTTCTTTTTTGCCAAATATCCTTGAGGGTTGACAAACAGTTAGTAACATGGTCACCCTCAGTGCTCACCACCTCATCTCCCCCCTGTGGGCGCCGCCCGGCCCCCCCCCCCTCTGTCCCCCCTCTTCCCCCCTCTACCCCCCCCTCGCCGGGAAAACCACCACCACCCAACTGTCGTGGTGGTCGCCTCCTTTAGGCTCTCTACTACCCCCCTTCCTCCCCCTCACCCCTCCCCCACTCTTCGAGTTGTTGTCTCAGGTGTTTCCATTCCCAGTAGTAGTACTCTACTGCCCTCAGGCTGGTGCTCTCTCATGAGCAGGACATGCTCACATATATAGGGCATGGTACAGTTTGCACCCAGTAGCTAAGTAGCATGTCCCTGCAATGTGGTTTGTTAGGGGTACATGGGGCATCGGAGTATATGATCATTGATCATAGTTATGCCATCGATTGTCATGTAAGAATGAAACCACCATTGCAACCAGATTCCTTAAAAATGAGCTCTCGGTTTGAGCAGTATATGTGTCAATTTGAGAATCTCTTTGAACGTGTTGACGGACTCAGATGGAGTTGGTCAGGGAAGGTTATTATGCATGAAAAAATTCTAAATTTTAATGTCCATCATGATGGTGCAATGGCGACAAGATTGCAGCAGAACGGCAACCACAAAGGTGAGGCCGCCTCTTTTCAGGGAAGGTCGTTACACAGGCAGAAATTTGAGTTCAACTACCATTTTGGCATTAATTTTTCCTTCCGGCAAATTGAGTGCCTGCTAAGCATAATTAGTAATTAATGTATCCGAGCCAGGTTTCCATTCAGATCCAAGCAGTCATTTTGTTGAACCGTTTGTGGAAAGACTGCCAATGGAATGTATTCGCAGGGGTCGGTGCGCCTACGTAGGTGTCCTGATTGAACGGTGATTCGTGAATGTATTTCAGATAGGTTTCTAGTCACATTCATTCGCAGCCACAGAGTCAGAGTGTTGATGATTGATTAACACAAAAGACAGCTAGACCCTTGAGATGCGTCTTTGCTTTTTTTTTTTTTTTTTTTTTAATCTTTGCATCTATGGAGACCCAGGTGATCATATTGTCTGTCCCCTTGGGTGGGTGTTCTGGAGGGGGATGAGAGGGGGGCCAGGGCGAAGGCATAGTGATGACGGAATCTGCCTTTCTTCAGGACAGAGTAGGGTCATTACGGAGTTACAGTAGGCGTTAGTTAAATGTCATGCAGGTCCTGAAGGACAGAGAGTAGTAGAGTACCAGTACCTTTCCCAGCTGTTTTTCAGAGATGTGGCTCGGTAGCGGCTGCAACTTTTAGGGTTGGGCCGCCGTTGATAAACTTCATCAGTGGCCGCTGTCGCGTTTCGGGCCTCCGAAAGTCGCGGGGCAGTGCATGCCCCGCGGCCGATGTGCGGACGAGGTACTGGTGGTTTAAAGGGGAAACCATGTGACATCGTGAGAACAGTCATATTTAAAGGGGCCGGTCAGCTCATTCAGGTGCTACCAGTGCTACCAAATGAGCGGAGAAACAGTGTAGCTCACTTTGGTGCATCCAAGAATTGTTGAAATGTAGATTGAGACAATATTTCTGAATTACGTGGGGCTGGTCAGCTCGATGACAATATCTCAAGGTTGTCGCCCTTTTTACAAGGGCCCAGTGCCAAAGGCTTTCAATAGGAAATGATATATGGGACCATACCGGGGCCCTTACCCAGCTTTGGCTTAGAAAAGGAACCATCCTATCAAGCTGGAAAACTGGTCCTGCGTTTCATTCCACTGCGATCTTAAACCATGATGATATAAGATGATAGTTGAGACAACATTCCGGACGAATATCGCCCACGCACAGATTAGCATGCTCATATAAACTAGAAAACTGACCAGATAAAGAAAACCAGAGGTTACATGACCTGATTTCCACCTCCCATAATATCTTGAGGCCTCACGGCTGTCGTCGACTCTGTAGGATATCATGATGAAAGGTGGGCAGGAGCCTGTTGAGCTCCTCTTTTTGCACCTGAGTTCGTTGTTTCTGTTTCGGTTTCCTTTTCAGTGCGAAGAGGGGAGGGTGGTGGATGAGGTAGTTGCTGACCCATTGCAACTTGAAGTGAGACACCATCACAAATTTATAAAGTCTTCGAAGACCTACCTTGAGGCCGTCACTTGCCACGAGAAGTTCCCTTGGTTTATTGGGATGAGCATTTAATCAGGAGTGGTCAAGGACATCGGGGCCCTACTCTGACCTCTTAAGATCTCTCAGCTTAGAGCGCAGATGCGGACAACCTTTTTCATGTTTTTGTACCCCATTCAATGATTCAGAAATATTTGCCTTCTCCAGGTTCTCCCTCCCAACTTCTGTCCTCTCTTAACGGACTTCTCGTTAAATTTGAAATATTTTGCTTGCGCGACGAACTTGACCTTGTTCTTTTTGCCTCTTTTTGTATGTTATTTTCGAATTCGGTGCCGATAACTTAGTGTTAATGGCCATCGCCTTCAATCAAGGAACCCAAGCATCTGGAAGGGTCAAAAGTGGCGACCAAAAAATCCTCGCTCAATTCCGTCACGTCAGCAAAATGTTTCACATTTAATGAAGAGTCAGTTGCTTGAACATCCTCCGAATGCAGCAGCCTGGGTAGGTGGCGGCAAGTCCCAAGGCCAAGGCAAAGTAGTTGCTCCTACCTTGTTACGGCAGGGGGATGGGATCCCTGGCTTCTCGTGGAGTTGGGCACTTGATTGGAGGCATGGATAGGTTGATGTGATCCATACTACCTCCGATAGGTGTGCGCCAAGCAATTCCTTTTCTGTTTGAAGGCTGGGGAAGAGCTACCAAACACCCGCGGACGCGGTCGAGCTCGGAGGGCGGCCACATATATGGCCGCGTCCGTGGCTGGCCTCATCCGTGCCGCGGACGTGAATTTACCATATTTTTCCTAATTTATTTAATAAGCCAAAAACGAAAAAAGCTAATATGGGGTTGTAGGGATTCTTAATCCCTGCAACCCCATTTGTTTTTTTTTGGAAAAAGATCATGTTAAAGAATTATAAAAAATAAAAAACATATAAGGTTGAGAAGAGAAATTGAAAATTAAATTTAAAAAAAAGTTCTTTTGGGGGGGGGGGGTGGTTGGTTGGCAGTTCTTTGTATTCTTCACTTCTACATAATTTTTTTATTTTCTTTTGTTGTGTAATAAGGAAGCAATCAAGGAATGGAAAAAAAAAGTAGTTCTTTTTTTTTTTCATTCCTTTATTGTATCCTTATTACAGTGTGTGTGTGTGTGTGTGTGTGTGTGTGTGTGTGTGTGTGTGTGTGTGCGCATTTGTGTGTGTGTGTGTGTGGTGTGCGTGTGCGCATGTGTGTGTGTGTGTGTGTGTGTGTGTGTGTGTGTGTGTGTGTGTGTGTGTGTGTGTGCTCGTGTGGGGGCTGGGGGGGCGACACCACCCCCACCAATCAATCAATCAATCAATCAATCAAAAAAAAAAAAAGGCAAAATCGAACGAATCTTCCGCTAGAACATGGAATTATACAGTACTATGTGTGTGTGTGTGTGTGTGTGTGTGCTCGTGTGGGAGGTGGGGGGGCG